TTTAATAATTTAAAAAATAATTTTAAATATTCAATAATTAAAAAATATTGATATTTTTTATATCAACTTTAAAAGAGAGGTGAGCAATGTAAGAGAAAAAAGAGAAAGGAAAAAAGATGAGAGAATTCATAATAGAAAGAAGGAGAGATGAAGAGGAATAGGAGGGAGAGTGAGAGGAGACAGAAGAGAGATAAGAGGAAAAAAAAGTTTGAGAGAGAAGAAAAAAATAATTGGAGAGAGTAAAAAGAGGAAAGAGAGGGAGAAAAAATAAAATATGAGAAAACGAAGAGAGAAATAGAAAAAAGAAATATAAAATATAGAAGAAACATAAAAACAAAAGAGATAAAGAAATAAAAAGATATAAATATAATGTGAAGAATTTCAAATTCTTCATTATATGTAAAAGATATATAAGTAATATAAAAAAAAATAAAAATATATATAAGTAAGATAAGAAAAAAAAATGAATTTTTATTTTTTAAAAAAATTAAAATTTACTATTTTTTTTTTTTAAATATTTGGATTTAATTTTTTTAATAAATTCTTCATCCAAATAAAATAATTCATCCCAAAAATATGAAATTCTTTAAAAAAAAAATTTATTCCCCTTTAAAAATAATTCAACTCCTTTCTTGAGTTAATTAATTTATATAATAACGATTTAATTGGATTGAATCATAAGAGAGGGTGATGAGGAATTTAGCAATATCTTTTTAACGAGAGAATTTATGAACATTTTTCTTGATGAAAGAGTTTATAATTTTTTTTTAAATTTTTTTATCTATTTCAATTTTTATTTGTCATATATATATACATAAATTTTAATAATTTCAAAATAAATTATTAATAGTTAAAAATAATATTGTGTGTTTATTTATTTTAAATTTTAATTATATATAATAAATATTTAGTCTGGATAATACATGGTTATAATCCTAATTACATTAAGGTTGAGACAAATCAACAACAATAATTTATAACATCAAGTTTGTATATCTTAAATTACAAGAATAATAATTTAATAAATTACATCTTATATTATAATTAATTGTTGAAAAAAAATCTTTATTTGTTATGTTTTTAAGTTACTAACTATTAATTTTTTGACAAAATAAATAAATAAATAAATAAATATATATATATATATATAATTATGTAACATTCATCAAATTTTATAAAATATAAATTTAATAAATCAAATCATTGTATTTAATGATATTTACACTCATGATTATACATATTAAATTTTAAAAGATTTGAATTAATCTAATTTGATGCAAGTAACGATTGGATCAACAGAATTTGTATTTATAATATACAATAGGTCAAAATGTCAATCAAAATTCGTTGACACCATAGTATAAATTTAGTTAAATATTATCTTCTATAATTTTTTATAGCACGTAAATTTAATCGATCTAATTGTTGTATTGAATGATATTACACTTTTGATCATTCATGTCAAATTTTAAATAATTTTGACTATTCTAAATATGTTGTCAAATAATAAATATTTATATGTATTTTGAATAATATTTTATATATTAAAATAAAGTGACATAATGAACTATAAAAAAATTTATTATTGTATGCAATTTTATATTTTATATACTTGATTTAAATAATAATATCATTAAATATAATGGTTGGATCAATTGAATTTACATTTAAAAAAATATTAAATATGTCATTTCACTAATTTAATACCATTATATCAACATAGATCCTGATTCATTATAATCACACACACACACATATATATACTAAAATTTCATTACTTTATATTATAGATGATAAATTACATATTACACACCTTGTCGTACAATAAGTGTTATATAAAAAGAAAAAAATTGTAAAATAATCACTATCATTTTAGTTTTTTTAATGTGATATTAAACTACTTATTTATTTATACCCATAATGTTTGGACAATTACCATTATAATTTTTTAGCAAAATTATTGTATTACATCATATTTAGAAAGTAATCACAAAAAACAAGGTTTATTTTGTAATTTTTTTAAATCTATTTATTAATTCTTATTAGGGAGAAAATATATATATTAGAAGTAGGGTTGAATGTTGTCAATCAAGAACTCACTTTTCAAGTAGTGAAGTAGTAACATTAATAGAAAAAAAGTGTTAAAGAAGCGACCGATGAAACACATAGTATTTTTATATTGATTTGTCTCAACTATTGAGACTACGTCTAGTTCTCAATCCAATTAGATCGAGTTTTGCTATCTTAAACAAGATACAAATATTCTTTCAACAAGTTATTTTTGGCTTAAATCTAATTCTTTTCACATAAAGCCTCTTAAAGTTTTAACATCGAGTATTTTTTTTATGGTAAAGTCCCTTTAAGCTCAAACAACATGTATTTGTTTACTGACAAGCCTTTTTAGATTTAACAAATGATTCTTTTACCCACAAGTCTCTCCATACCCAAATCTAATAACTTAAAGTTACTAAAGTTTATAAGTAGTTTTGTCTTCCTATTAAGACGTGATACAATAATTTAAGTACACAAAACTTTATAGAGTGAAAAAGATTCTAAAAATATTTCTTTACAAGTTCATCAAGAAGTCATCACGTTCTTTTTGATCATGTAACTTCTTATATAATAGCTTAGGTAAAAACAACGGTCGTAAAACTTTGATGGTTCCTCACAAATGCTTTATTTGTCTTCACACTTGTGATTTGAAAAAGATACATAAGATATATTGTTCTTTTTTATTTAGTACATATTTTTAAATTAAATTTTAAAAAATTAAAATTCTCAAATATAATAAATGTATGTATAATAACTAATAATGAATGTATGATTTGAATACTCATAAATGACACCATTAAAACCCACTATCATTTCTCCAACAGTTGATAATAAATGTATATTTAAATTTCACTTTCAATTAATTGTCACATCAATTAATACAGTTTATTAAATAAATATAAAATATTTAAAAAAAACTTGTCTAAAATGTTCTTAATTTGGAAGGGAAAATATACATCAAAATTTCATTACTTTATATTATAGATGATTCTTTTATAATATAAAGATATTTTATTATTAATATGAAATATACATTATATATATATATATATATATATATATATATATAAGTCATAATTACATTCTAATATTTTTTAAAACACTACCAAAGGTCTACACTATAGATAATTACAAATGACAGATTAAAAGTATTGTTTATCAACTTGGGTTGATGCTAGTGATGAAGAACTCACCTTGTTTAATTAATTGATTGATGTTTGAATTTAAACTTTTATGAATGCAAAAATCTCAACTTGTGTAAAAATTTTCACTTATTTGATGTCAAACAGCCAAAAGAGATTGTTTTATATTCGATGAGAAATACTCTTTGGTAATGAAAAAAAATTAAAGTATTATTAGATTCTTTTTATAGAATTAATTTAAAGTGTTTCTTGTATTAGTTATATATATATATATATATATATATATATACCTTTAATTAAAAATATTTTCTCATTTAATTAAAAATATTATAATAAATTTAATATTATTAACTAAATTAACTGAGATCTTTAATTCTAATGAATCTAATAATCGAGTCTTATAAAAAAGACTGGGGAGTAATACCTTTAACATATTTTATTTTATTTTTTAAATATTTTTTTAGAACATAAAAAATTTATAAATATGATAAATGAATGTATATTTATGATTAATATTTTTCACTTTTTCCTTTATGAGGAACACATTTTAAAGGAAATAAATAATAATTATAACATAATTTAAAACATTTTTCATTATATTCCTTATTAAAATTTTGTATATGTTTAAATTATATATAAATGCAGATACATTTATAAAAGTAATATTTTTAAAAGATACATGTAATATATATATATATATATATATATATAT